ATGCACACAGACGATACTGGGTTTGTTGTTTGCCAGCTACAGGGTACGTGCCTTTCAGTCCTGAAGCTCAAGAAGAGAGGTCTGTCTCTTTTTGTTCTTAACCCACCACGAAATCGCTGGAAAGACCCCTTCTTCTTTCTTGTGATACCCAAACTCGAATATTTATTACAAGTTTTCTTTCAAATTGTAGCTATGCTGTATTGAGAAAGTTTACATGTGTTTATCTGGGCCCCAGTACTACCAGGACTTGTCTAATGACTGGATGCAGCCATGGTGTAGAGAGGAGAGTGGATAGTTCTCCTCCCAGGACCTGTGTGGTAAGGGCTCCTGGCAGCAGAGGTGGATCCAGCAGCGTAACTGACTGGAGCCACAGGATAGGATTGTCTAACTTCCACAGTTCTGTGTGCTTTAAGAAGTACAGGTTCCATGGAGGACACTTGGCGGTTAAAGAACAGAATCTACATATGTAGCTTCCCTGTAGTACTTGTTAAAGGGTAACGATTGCTCCAGAACTCTTTCCTAGTTCTGGAAAAAGTTCTTTCTCTTAGAAGTTCCTGTCCATCTCATATTCTTGTAGACCACTGCCCCATGGCATTCGACCAGAAACAACTGAGGTTTGCCTCTTCACAAAGGATGAACCAAATTTATCAGCAGAACAGACTGAAAATCTGTACAGGAAACTTTTAATCCAGAATGGGATCAGAAGCGTTAGCCAGGTAAGAGAAGCGTCCGATGGTGGTGTGGTGCAGCACTGCCGTTCCTGTTCCCTCGGGACAGTGAGAAGGGAAAGTAGTTGTTTCCTGCTGTTTAATATTCTCATCTCAGGGGTTCTGAGTTTGTGGTCTCTAGTTTTTTCTGACTATTCAAAATGTAGTTTTTCTAAACTTCAAAATTGAATCAAGAGTAATCTCTCCATTTTAAAAAAGGCTCACTACAAACACATGTAATTTATAGATAAATGTAATTATGTAATAGATAGATAAATGTCCGATATTTAGTTGGAGTAAGGAGCTGGAGAAGCTCACAATGTAAAAGAATATTTGTAGGTTTTGCAGCTGGATTGTTTACACTACTAGCAGTAAAACTAGAAAATAATTTTACTGTTGTATTTAACCTTGATTTAGATGTTGCCATGTACTCAAGTTCTGTTTGAGTTCCTGTGCAAGAGATCCATATTGTGTCATTCTTAAAACATAAAGTACCATATAATTTTTTCCTGTTGTCTTCACCATTCTAAAACAATGCACTGTGATAGACACTCAGTTATTCAAGTTAATCCTGTACAGTTCTAAGTAGTATCTTAGGCTCTTTCCAGCAGTGGGAACCAAACTGTTACTTGCATTGCAGATCATCTCATACAAAACTCTCAAAAAAGAGTACAAGCTATTTGAAGCAAAGCGTCGCCTCCTGAACAGGTTTGATCTCTTTCTGTCCGACGACCGAATTAGAAGGCTCTTGCCCTCCCATCTAGGAAAACACTTTTATGAAAGGAAAAAGTACGTCTTTAAATTCTGTATATCCATTTTGCATTCTCTCTTTTAAAAGATTAAATTCTTCTTAGTAAAGGTTTGCTGGGTTGGGTTTTGGGGTTGGGTTTGGTTTGTTTGGGGGTTGCGGGGCTTTTTTATTTGGTTGGTTTGGTTTAAGTTTTGTTTGGTTTGGTTTTTTTTTAACTCCTAGCCTTTCTCTTTTAGAGTACCTTTATCTGTAAACCTGAAAGCCAAAAATCTTGCTAAGGAACTACAAAAGCATATCCAGGGGACTACGCTCCCAGTGACCAACAAAGGATGCTGTTAGTAAGTATAAGTAGATTAATACTTCACTTGAAAGACTGTTGTACCTTAACTATAGGAATTTTAAGAGAGTTCTTTTGATTCCATTAATATGTGAATAAAAGAGGTTAAGGATCACCATTCCAGATAGGGGCCATTTTGAACCTTAACCTGTATAAAGAAATCAGTAGTTTTACTTAGGAAGTTTTACTATCAAGTTTTAATTTTTGTCTCTTTCCTTACACCTGAGGAATTTCTAGGAAACTGCTCTGTCAATAACATGTACAATCATAGAAAAATTACTGTTACATTAGATAAAAACTACTTCCAAAATACTCTATCCTTGTAAGACTTCTTTAATTTTTCGTGTCTAAAAGGATCTAAATTGTCAAAATACTTACTAACATAAGGCAGAAGCTGCATATAATACGGAAAGTTTAATACAAGTAAATCTAATCTAACTAAGATTATAAAAGACTTCAGCAGTAGTCAGTCATCCAACTTTGGGAGAGTTAAGATAATTGCAGATAAATGGGCTTTTTTTCATTTTGGGGTATGCCTAAAAACAAGTAATATGAAGTATGTTTAGTTGCCTACAAATAAATGTTACTCTTCACTCCTTTCAGCACAGCACGGATAGGCCACACTGGAATGAAAGCCAATGAGATAGTCGATAACATCTTTGCAGCAGCCGAGGTGATTGCCAGGAAGCTACCAAAGGTACTGCTGCTCGTTGGTCGCGTTCAGGCTGAGGCAGTTCATCAGTTAGCTGTGTTATTTTTACATAGTACATTTCGTTTGTTGTTGCAGCGTTGGAAAAATGTAAAAATTCTTCACCTCAAAACACTTAAATCAGTCGCCCTTCCCATTTTTACTGCAAATATCTCCAACTTGGATGAGCTTGACAGACAGCCATCTCTCAAAAAAAAGGAAGTAAAGGTAACCAGTTTGGAACAACTAGTTCTTTGGCTTCATTTTATGCATTTTATAGTGACTGTGTGTTGGGTTGAAACATTTTAGCCGTTGATCCCAGGCATTTATGGCTACAAGTGGTTAGCTGTGCCTGACTCAGAGTGCTTCAAAACTCAGTAATACTGACCAAATTATGGAAACTCCCTGATAGGTTGTAGAGCAAACTGGAAATAAGTATGTTAAGCATTGTAAGCCTGAAACTCGGCTCCCTAAAACTTTTGCTTGTATTGTGTGTTCGTATTTGCCTTTGGAAAATAAACTCATTAAGATGTACATGGATTCAGACTATGCATCTGTCATAGTTCACAAGCTTGTGAACAAACTATCTTAATATATGAGTGGGGGCTCACCTACTTTTAAAAAAAGAAACTAATCAGCTGTTCCTTTGTACACAGTTCTGCTTATTATGTTATTTTGTCTAAAATAAGTTTTAGACTTAAAGACTGTAGTCTTGACATTATAAATAGCTCATAAGTAAATGTTTAAATAGTAAACTTCTGAAAGTAATGCATTTTTTTTTTATATTTACATTGGTTGACCAGTCCACATCTGTTGAACAACAATACTTAAACTCATGTTGCTAGACTGTCTTATTTTTGATGCACATTTAGAAATATTACAGGGATTTGTCTGAGATGTACTTCCAATTAATTCCACAAGGGAAAGAACAAGAAACCAAAGAAGGCAGCTAAAAAAATGAATTCAAGTCAAGTCACTTCGACAACTGAAATTAATGCTGATGCTGCCCAGGAGCTTGCGGCAAAAGGAAAAGTAGAAGTAGTCCAAGATCCAGGTGATCATGATGATGAAGAAATTCCACAACTAGTGCCTATGCAAACAACCATCTTAGATGTGCTGAAGGTAATTGTTTCATAGTATTGAGAAACTCACATTTCATTTAAAACTAAATATTCTGAGCTGTTTAAATTGTTGACTGCTCCTTACAGAACAGTCTTGCGGGTTTTTCTTGCAAAATTAAATTTTTACATTTTTTAATATATCATCTTCTGCCTGGAGTGCAAAGCTTGAGGAAAAATGAGTAACATTCCCTAGGATAGTAATGTGCACCATTAACAATCAGATTTTATAAATTGAGAGCTAGCAGCGTGCCTGAAGTCCTGAATGGACTTATTGCTGCTGTTGCAGATTATGTGGCTGTGCCATTAAGGTGTCTTGCAAAACAGCCAGAGGGATGATACATGTAACAAACACCTAGGAAAGATGTTTCGGAAGAAAACAGTAACACAGATTCAGCTTGGTTACACTGCAGTCGTGATTAGAGCACATCCTTCAACTCTTAACTGTGTACCCCTTCAGGGATCCCCAAACTAAAACTGTGATGATGTGCAGGCCCACCAAAAAAGTTCATAGAGCTCGCTTCAGGCTGCACTCCTGCAGCAGCCTGCGTTAGCTCGTGCGATGCAGTTGCCAGAGCCCTGTGTCCAGAGCCCTGGGACAGATGCAGCTGGAGTTTGGTCATATGAACTGTTCTGAGAGAGAAGCAGTCTTTCATGAGGGCCGTTTGGGAACATGTGATGGACTCTGGGGAATACCAGGGCTAGTGCACAGGTAAGAGTGCAGTCAGTTTTTTGTGCAGAGCTGACCTCTATTCAATCCACTAAACCTGGAAATGCTGCAGGAAGAGGTCTGTGGTTTGAAGCTCTGCCAGCAGAGGTCGTTGACTTGATGAGCCAAGGGGATCCTCGCATCTGCTAAATCTTACTTAACTTTTTTGTTACTTTTTCATTATTTTCATGATTTAATTCTGTGTTTAATAATCTACTTCCAGACTGAAATGTGAACAGATCATCTGGGCTAGGGCACAGTTCAGTGGATAGAAAGCATTTTTGTCAGTTAGAATGGTTTTCAATGATCATTTCTGAAAAACAGCAAAGATGTTTCTTAAGTGGAAGGGTAAATTTTTTTCTTGTCTTAAATGCAGAAAATGGAACAACGTCCAGAAAAAGGTGATAAGCTGGGCAAGAAAACTAAAGCACCCCTCGGTAAGAGAAAGAAACAGCCTCTGGCTCTGGAGACTCCAAAACCAAAACTTAAAGTCACAGAAGAGGGTGCAGACTTGCAGACATCACCAAAACAGAAAAAAGCCAATCAGCACAGCATGCCAAATGAAGCAATAAAAGAAAAAGAGACGAAAAAGACTCCCAAAAAGCCTGAAGCAAAGTCTTTTGCAACACCCAAAGCTGGCAAATCAATACAGTCAGCCAAGAAGGCTTCAAAACCCCGAAAGAAAGCACACAGGCCACAGTCAGCATGAATGTTGTCTGTTATAACACATGTTATATGGTCAGTCAGTGACTTTTTGGTAAACAAATGTATTGAAGTAAAATACCTTGTTAAGAAGATCTGATCCCAAGAGCTTTTGTCAGTGAGGCCTGTAATGATTCATTTGAGTTTCCTTCTAACTGATGAGCTGTAACAAATAAACTCACTATCCTAACTGCCTCTGTTTTTTCCCTTTTATATTTTCCTGGCTCGAAGTAAAAGTTCAAATCCCTTAAGGGTCAAAGAGTAGGAAGGGGACTATTCCAGGAAAAAAAAGATTATAAATTTAAGTGATATATTCCTGAAGTACAGCTTCGTAGTGGGGTAGACACAGGCTGAAGCAAGACGGATGAACACAAAGAGCAGCAACCTCTAACATGTCATTTGAAATGTGGAATAGCTGCTACCATTTTTTATTAAATTGTTCAATATACAAAAAAAAAGTTTGACGTCTATTGATCTTATTCCAGATACATTGTTTGGCTTGTTATCAGGCTACCAATTTAAGTATTTTTTTAGCTGAGTCTATTTGTGTGTTTAAAAAAATAAAAAGGCACAGGCAATTTTACGTCAATCATTGTATGTTTTGACCATTTATGACCTCAAGCAGAATCTTCACTTCTGCTTCATTTCTGGGCTTTATTTCTGCTACCAGAACAATGGAGATACCCATGCTGTGTGCTGGTCACAATTCTGGTATTTCTTCTGTCTAAAAAACACAAAAGGCTGTAAGAATTTGGGGTGTGCCAGCTAAGTGAACCAGTCCCACACACACTGCAGAACTGAACGGTTATGTATTTGAAATTTTGCAGACTAACCAAGTGGTGGCTGGCTGCATGATTATTTCATGTCTTTCTTCAGAGTGAGAATACAAGGCAGATGGGTGATTAAAAGTCCTGGTGGACTTCATTAGCAGTATTTCACTTGAATCCAAATAGGAAAAAGTAATGGGAGACAAGAATACTAGTCAGTAGTATGTAACCAGCCTAATTTGCAGAGTACAAAAAAACCTATTCCATCTCCTATTTAGGACTCCATATCAACAGATTTGCTGCCTAGAAAGTACCATTGGATTATAAAGGTTGGAAAAGACCTTTAAGAGCATCAGCTCCAGCCATCACCCCACACTACCATGACCATTAAACTATGTCCCCAGGTGCCACATCTACATGTTTTTTGAACACCTCCAGGGATGATGGCTCTACCACCTCCCTGGGAGGTAATTGGGTGCTAAATAAAACCTGGTAAAAGAAACACTAAAAGATACAAAAAGATTCTGGTTGATCCATGGTGTCAACTTTCTGTAACCCATCACCTCTTTTTCTAGTCTACCACAAACATTTTTAATTAAGAAACATTAATCTCAGCCAAAAAAGCAAGTCTGATTCAATGATCCCTGTTCGATCCACAATAACAAAATGAGCTGATCTTGTCCAAGTATAAACCCATCACTTCTGAGCTGCAAAATCCTACTAAACTTCCATAACAGTAAAATAAGAGACTAGATAAAGAACTCTCCTCCTTTCTGTATATGTGGTTTTGTGTCCAAGCGATCACATTAAAATATTTCTTAATTTGTAGATGTGCAGAAAACTATGAAGATCATAATTTCTGTATGAGTAATGGCTAGTGAACCATACTGGTTTCTGAGTGCTGGAAAGACACATCTTGGGCCCTAGGGGGCGAGAATTTTGGTGTGCACAGAAGGAATGCCACAGGGCTAGAACTATGATTTAGATAGCTCTTTGCCCAAAGAATCTCAGTTAAGAATTATGAATTAATACGTCTGTTTAAAATTCACAGAATCACAGAATGTTAGGGGTTGGAAGGGACCTCAAAAGATCATCCAGTCCAACCCCCCTGCCACAGCAGGACCACCCCGAGTACATCACCCAGGAACATGTCCAGGTGGGCCTTGAAAGTCTCCAGAGGTGGCGACTCCACTGCCCCCCTGGGCAGCCCGTTCAGAGCTCTGCCACTCGTTGGAGAGAATTTCTGCCTTATCCTCAGGTTGAACCTCTTGTTCACCAGCTTGTGACCACTGCCCCTAGTCCTGTCTCCAGACACCACTGAGAAGAGCCTGGCCCCTTCTTCCTGACACCCACTCTTTAGGTATTTATAAGCATTAATAAGATCCCCCATCAGCCTCCTCTTCTCCAAGCTAAACGTCCCCAGCTCCCTGAGCCTTTCCCCATGTGACAGCTGTTCCAGCCCTGGATCTTCTCAGCAGCCCTGTGCTGGACCCTCTCCAAAAGTTCTTTGTCCCTCTTGAACCGAGGAGCCCAGAACTGCACACAGTACTCCAGGTGGGGCCTCACCAGGGCAGAGCAGAGAGGGAGGATGACTTCCCTCAACCCATTGGCCACATACCTCATAATGCACCCCGGGATGCCACTGGCCTTCTTGGCTGCAAGAGCACAGTGCTGGCTCATGGTCATCCTGCTGCCAACTGGGACTCCCAGGTCCTTCTCCCCAGAGCTGCTCTCCAACACATCAGCCCCCAGCCTGTACTGATGCATGGGGTTGTTCCTCCCCAAATGCAGGACTTCACACTTGCCATTCTGCTCAGCCTATCAATCTTCGGGTTAAGCAAAATGGTCAAGAGTACTTCCTTTAGGGTACATTATTAGAATCTCTACTGCTGTCAAGAAAAGTATGTAATCCTAAAATTAGATTGACTTCCTAAGAGCTCTTCTAATGGAATAAACTCCCCTAAACCAAGCAGGTATACAAATCTCAAACTTGGAAAACTGGTACATTATCTTCTTTATCTTACACTTTTGAGAGGGACAAAAGTTAGGTTATTGAACACCATAATGTGAGGCAGAAGTAGAACCACAGATGTTTTATTGAAGCGAGGTTTAAACTTTAAAACCCAAAAGATGCTTGAAAATAATCAGGAAGAATAGTAGTACATGCTTTTTGGTACCATAATTCTCAAAACAGAAGTGGTATTAGGTCTCAAAATGAAAGATCTTTTATTGTTGAAGTACTTAAAAGGGTTTTAGCTTTTTTTAAGGAAGATTTCAGCTTGTGATTTCCTAAGGATATCTTTTATGGAATAACATCAGTAACACAGGCAGTCACTAATGAAGAAGTGCCTTTACCTAGTCTTGTTTCTTAACGCTCAGCAGGAGCAATGCTAAGTGAGCAAAGCACTATGATAGAAGTTGAGCCTGTGGTCTTTATTACAGTAGACCAGCAGTACTCATTGTCATCGGAGGAACAGTCCTCGGTGCCGTCATGCTTGGCACGCTGTACTTCCACAAATATGGAAGTCGCAAATGCTCTTAGGCCTGTCAGGCTGCCCATTGGCCTGATGTTTCTAGTTGCTGCAACAGTGCAGCTTGCCCATCATTAACCAAACTGTCGGCTGAAGGGCCTTGTGAGATCACGGGAACCAAACACAGCCCTGGTGCCTGAGGCCTTCGGTGCTAAAAGATGCGTACCAGGTCGTTAACCCATGCAACAGTGAACTGAAATACACATCTTGCCTCTCACATAACTTTTACTTTCTGGATTTTTCATCTTGCATTCGCAAGCAGTTTCCTGGTTGCTACCCTGAAGTTGTGCTCTAACTGCTCTGTCTAAGCCAAGCTCCTCGAGCACACCGTTCCAGCAGCGCATGTGGCTTCGCAGCTGCGCGGTGTGACTGCCTCTCGCACCTCTGCCGCCTCCTCTCCCAAGGGTGGAGGTCTACAACAGGTACGCGTTTCAAGAGCACCCTTGCTGGAGCGCCTCCCCCCCGGGTGCTGGAGCAAAACGCGGCACAGGCCTCGGCGCCCTTCACGAGGTGTCGATGCCCGCCTCGGCTGGGAGCAGCTCA